GAACAACATGGCCGCTTCTTTCCCAGCTTCCTTCGGCTTAAGGCTGCCTCCTGGTTCAAATCCTAGGCCCAGGCTGGCTAGCCTCACTCCAGGCACAGAGCAAACCTGCACGTCAAACACATTCCCGGAAAAGCAGTCCACTCCAAAGCTTGCCATGATTCCTGCATTCCCCACCACCACGCTCCTGCCTTCTAGCAAGGAGAGCTTCCCACGAGCCTGTGAAGGCGCCAGCCAAACCAGGAACAAAATGGCCGCATAGAATAAGAAAATATTGAAGTTGTCAGTGATTTCACTTTTTTTGAATTCACAACACCTGGGGTAGCAGCAGTCAAGACATTAAAAGATATATTGCGTTGGGAAAATGTGCCAGAGACCTCTTCAAAGTGTTAAAGATCAACAACTTCAGTTTAAAGAGTAATATACACTGGGTCAAGCTATGGCTTTTTCAATTGCTGCCTATGCATCTAAATGTTGGTCAATGAATAAGGATGACTAATGAAGAATTGATGCCTTTGCATTATGGTGATGGAGATGATTATTGAATATCTCAAGGACACTGAACATAATAAACAAATCTGTCTTGGTGCAACCAGGGTGCTCTTTAGAAGAAGGATGGTGAAACTTCATCTCACATGCTTAGAGCATCTTGTCAGGAGAGACCAGTCTTTAGAAAGGGAGATTATGCTAGAAAAGATAGAGGGTCAACAAAAGAGCAAAGATCTTCACCAAGATAGATTGACGTATTAACCTTACCAACGGGCTCAGCCATTTTTGGGATAATGAGGTCAGCGCATGATAGGTAAAAGGTTCCAATCTGTTGTTCATTGAGAAGGAAGAGTTGTAAGTTATAGCTGACTCCAGGGTATATAACAAGTCTCCTTTGCAAGAAAGTATGATCTATGTGTAGCTAGGGATATACAAAATGGAGATTAGAAATGATAACTAGGTCAGTTAATTCTCATCCATTCCTTAAAATCAGAATTATTTCTTAGGATGTGAAAATGAAAATGTAATTATGCTTTAAAAAAGAATTCCTTAAAAATTTTTGCTTGTAAAACTTTTTCTCTACATGTGCTAGTGAGTATGGATTACAGTACTTGATTTTTAAGCAGAAACATTTACTTGATATATTTAATTTATGCTGAGTTACTACTAAGCTTCAGAAAATAACACTTGGCATACATGAAATATTTAATGTGTTTTAAATGAAGACTTATCATTCATATATAACTCTATTGTTACTTTTGTCAAAATCTATGATTATTTCTTTTGACATTAGTTCTGCTTTTATGAAAGAGAAAATGAAAAATCTTGGTTTTAAGTTACTTTATATGCTTTGTAAGTATAGAAACACTTATAATACTGAACAATATAGTACTAGAAATTGGGATAACTAATATTTATTGAGCACTTACCAAGAACCTTCCTTTAATATGTGTAAGGTAGAAATTTGGAACTGGCATTGTTTAAACACTTTTGATATCTTAAATTAGTTAATCCTTACATAAAACACTGTAAATAAAGTAGCTGATTTTATTGGTATCCCTGTTTAAAAGATGAGGTAACTGAGGTACAGATAAGGAGGGTGGGAGCATAGGGGAGGGGATGGGGGGGGTAATCATGGGGTTGCATGGCTTGATGGGTCTGGGGTGGGTTGGGAATGTGGGGGGATCCAATATGAGGGGCAATGTAGGCAAACTTTATAGGTAAACCAGTGTAAAATGTCAAAAAATATTGCAAGAAATAATTTTATTTTTTTTTAAAAAGAAAATGATATTTATTGTCCAATATAGCTAGTAAGTGGAGGGACCTCTGGTGGCTTAGTGGTAAGAAGCTGCACTGCAATTCCAAAGGCACAAAGTTTGAACCCACCATCTGCTCTGCAGGGAAGGATGGGCAATCTCATCCTGTGTGATTAACTGCCTCTGAAACCCATTGAAGGGTCAGCTATGAGTTGGTTCTGACTCAATGGTACACAACAACAACAACATAGCTAGTAAGTGACAGAATGAGTTTTCTCATCCAAATAGTCTGTCTGACTTTAGAGGCCAAGGTTTGATTTACTAAAACTGTATTTCTGAAACTAAGGAAAATATAAAATGACATGAGCAATGTACAAAAGCTGATCTGCTTTTGGTTGGGTTTTTGTTGTTGTTTTTGTTGTTCCAAAGTAGGTTTTGAACAGTCATTTGACATGTAAGTGCTACCTTTTGTCCACAACACTTATTGTGTTAAACAATAACATAATTAATGAACAATGGATTTTCTTTTCTGTTGTCTTTTTATTTCAGACTTAAACTTTAAGACACAATGGATTTTGTGTTAGACTATTAGAAACTACACTGTAATCCCAAAGGCACATGATTCAAATCTGCCAGATGCTTCTTGGGAGAAGGAAGGGCAATCTCCTCCCATGGGATTAATTGCCTCTGAAAACCTGCTGGAGGATCAGCTTTGAGTCTGTTCCAACTCGATGGCAAGCAACAGCAATAGTAAATTGAAAAGTCAGTAGGGTGAACTCATTGACTATTTCCTATGAGAAAAATGGGACAGTATGCTCTTGTGCAGATTTATAGCCTTCAAAATCCTGTGGCATACTGCACTGTCTCCTGCAGGTTTGTTGTGAGTTGGGATTGACTCGTCAGCAATATAGAAACTTTGCAAGACTTCCATTTGTGTTCTTCCATTTGCAGTACCTACCGAGGCCCAGGTAGAGACTAAGATGTCTCATGAATTTCCTAAAAACTTCAGAAAACTCTGGTGGTCCTGAGCAATTTCTTTTCTTTTGCAGACAGAACTGTCCTTGTGGATACAGATCTTCCAGTCCTCAAAGGCCTCTATGTGATGGGGACGTTAGAATTCCCTGTGGACAGAAGCAACGTTCTGAGTGTGGCGTGCATGGCCGTTGTAGGAGGAGAGCTGAAAGTGGGTGAGTGAGGCACAAGCACTGAGGATAACGGGAATGAAGCTTTGTGGGAAGGGCCTCTGGGAAGCTGTCGTCATATCTGGTGGGTTGCTTACTGGGGCTTGAGGAAGGCTAAGGCAAAGATTGAGTTAAAGCGTTTCTTTTAAATGGTGCAACCACTATGGGAGGCTAAATGGTGCTGTCTCAAAAAAGTTGCAAATAGAAATACCATTTGACCCAGCAATTCCACTACTGGGAACATACTCCAAAGAAACCATAAGAGCCACCCATGTTTATCACGGCTTTGGTTCCAATAGCAAAGAGTTGGAAACAACCCAAGTGCCCATCAACAAATGAATGGATAGAGAAGCTCTGGTATATTCACACAATGGAATACTATGCTGTATTGAAAAACAAGGAACTCATGAAATATTATACAAAATGGGTGACCCTGGCGGACATTATGCTGAGTGAAATATCTCAGCACAAAAGGACAAATACTGCATAGTGCCACTGTTGTAAAACATAACTGATATCGGGGTTGTGGGGATACCGAGAAAGATGGGATAATTTATGTATGCTGCATTGATAGAGATGAGGGAGAGAATTGTTTAAAAGGGATATATGACTAGGCATTATTGTCCTGAGAGGAGTCCAGAATGAAGACTGCATACATAGTGGAGTGGACTTGAGGGGAGGGATTGTATAACAATGAAAAAAATTTTTCTTTTGCTTTTCAAAGAGAAAGCAAAGTGGGGTGGGGGAGGAGTGAGCAGGGGCGAAGATGCAACAATGAAAAAAGGGAAATCCAAAGTCTCTGTAAATATTCATTAAAATTAATAATAATAATAAAGCATTTATTAAGCATACTTTAGCTCTGAATGTAGTTTAACTTTTATTGATGATTTTTGTCATGCCCACCATCTCATTAGACCATTATCAGCAGACCATGTTTTGAGCCCTGGGGCTTCATGCTATTTTTCATGACAGGACCCTCTTTGTCTATTCTGGGCTATTATTGATCAATGTCCTCTAGTTCTCTGATTCAGAATTTACCTATAACTCACTTTTTTCAGGAGGTATCATTGAACTAGTGTTGAATTTTACCCTCTTACTGATAAAACAAAATTTAATCACTTCCATAATGCAGGACTTTGGGAAAACAGATGCTCCAACCAATGTATAGATGTATACAGTATTGGTACAAATAATCACAGAAAAAGAAGAGTGAGAGAAAGAGAAATGTGAGGGCAGGTAAAAGGCAGAAAACAAGTACATGGTGGTCATAACTTCTCAGAAAACAAGGCCTTTTGTGGATTATGTGAAGTACCTTGGAAGAAACCTTAGAGAATTTTTTTGGACAATACGGGAGAAAGATGGCAATCAATTCACCTACCAGATCCCTCTGATCTCTTGTATATCTTGATCCACATCTACCTCAAATCTATTAGCTCCCTTATTTCTATTATGTTCTCTAATTAATTCCTTAGACAGTTGGTGGAGAATCCAGAGATTCAATAGCTAAGAGATGAGACTTCTCTAGTGGGAAGTGAGGCATTTGTTGAAGCCCAAAGACAGATATAGTGGATAGATATAGGATAGTACATTCATTGGGTCTTGTACAGTGGTTTATGTGGTTTACTGATAAGGGATTGTTTTCTTAACTCAAAGGTACTCACTTCAAATCTATCAGCAGCTCCATGGTAGAAAAATGGGCTATCTCCTCCTGTATAATATACTGCCTCTGAAGACCTGATGGAGAGTCAACTATAGGTAATTTCTGACTAGATGGTGCACAACAACAACATATCCTTGGAATTCTTCTAGGCAATAAAAAAAAATGTAATACTAACAGGACATGTATTCTGTCTCCCAAGGAACAAACTTTGAATTTGATAATGCCTCAACAAAAAGACTAAAAGAGAATTTCCGGGAATTTTCTCAAAACTTGTCCCAAAGAAACAAGTCTTTGATAGTGAAAAAATAGTTAGCAACATTGTTTAATAACATGCAAATTTTAGAATCACTGATGGCAGAAAATTCTAAGCACACTTACCTATCCAAGACTTATTATTACAGTAAGAAGATTCTTGAAAAAGTATTGCTTGTTCTTGAATGTTCCAGTGGCAGAAAGAAAGGAAATATTTCAAGGCAACCTGTTCCATTTTTAAAATACTCCGAGGATTCTTCTCGTTTTGTTAACCCAATGTCTATTCTTTCTTCTACTATGGATTTGTTTCACCACTTGCTTCTTTTTCCCTTTTTTTAAATTAATTTTAATGAATGTTTACAGAGACGTTAGATTTCCATTCATTCATTGTTGCATTTTTCTCTCTCCCCATCCCTCCCCACCCCAGTTCACTTTTCTCTTTGAAAAGTGAAAGAAATTTTTTTTCATTGTTATAAAATCCCTCCCCCCAAGTCCACTCCACTATGCAGCCTTCATTCTGGACTCCTCTCATGACAATAATACCTAATCATATATCCCTTTGAAACAGTTCTCTCTCTCATCTCTTTCAATGCAGTATACATAATTTATCCAATCTTTCTCAGTTTTCCCCAACCCGATGTCAGTTCTGTTTTACAACAGAGGCACTATGCAGTATTTGTCCTTTTGTGCTGAGATATTTCACTCAGCATAATGTCCGCCAGGGTCACCCATTTTGTATAATATTTCATGAGTTCCTTGTTTTTCAATACAGCATAGTATTCCATTGTGTGAATATACCAGAGCTTCTCTATCCGTTCCTTTGTTGATGGGCACTTAGGTTGTTTCTAATTCTTTGCTATTGTGAACAAAGTCACAATAAACATGGATGTGCATATGTCTGCCTAGGTGGCAGTTGTGGTTTCTTTAGGGTATATTCCCAGTAGTGGAATTGCTGGGTCAAATGGTATTTCTATTTGCAAATTTTTGAGAAAGCGTCATACTGCCTTCCATAGTGGTTGCACCATTTTGCACTCCCACTGACAGTGAATAAGGGTTCCAGTTTCTCCACAACCTCGCGAGCAGTTGATGCTTACTGCTCTGTTAAATTTTGAACTTTCTTCAAGTGTTTATTTGCCATCTGAGTGTCTTCTTTGGTGACGTGTCTGTTCATATCCTGTGCCCATTTTTCAATTGGGTTATTTACTTTTATCTTCTTGTGGTGCTCGAGTATTTTATACATTTTAGATATAAGTCCCTTATCTGACATGTCATTACCAAATATTTTTCTCAGTCTGTGATTTCCCTTTTTACTCTGTTGTAGAAGTTTTGGGATGTGCATAGGGATCTTAGAAGGTCCCATTCATCTATTTTATCCTCCCCTGGTTGTAGATTTTTCAGAATGTTTGGAAGACTAAGCTTTATGTTGTTGATTAGAATTTCTAGAGTTCTTACAAGCTTTTTTTTTTTTTTAATGAAATGTATAGTCCTTGGTTTTAGTCCTAGGACCATGATCCATTTTGAGTCGATTTTTTTTGTATGGAATGAGGTGTGGATCTTGCTTGAGTTTTCTACAGATAATTTTCCAATTTTGCCAGAACCATTTTTTAAAAAGGCTGTCATTTCCCCACTTAACTGATTTAATCTCTTTATAAAAAATCAACTGACCATAGGTAGATAGACTGATTTCTGGATTCTCTATTCTATTCCGTTTATCTGTGTGTCTGTCATTGTACGAGTACCATGCTGTCTTGACCACTGTGTCAGTGTTGTTGTTGTTATGTGCCATCGAGTCGTTTCCGACTCATAGCGACCCTCTGCACAACAGCTCTAAACCCTGCCCTATCCTGCGCCAACCGCACCGCCTCCGACACACTCATCCCGATTACCCCAGTCACCGAATCAATCCATCTCATAGAGGGTCTTCCCCTCCTGCGCTGTCCCTCCACCCTCCCAAGCATGATGTCCCTCTCCAAGGACCCGTCCCTCCTGGCAACATGTCCAAAGTATGTCAGACGAAGCCCCAGAATCCTTGCCTCCAAGGAGCAGCTTGGTTTAATCCTCTCCAAGATGGATCTGTTTGTTTTCCTGGCAGTCCAGGGTACATTCAGTACCCTTCTCCAGCACCACAGCTCAAAAGCATCCACTCTCCTTCTGTCCTCCCTAGTCATTGTCCAACTCTCTGATACATAACAAGCGATTGCAAATACCATGACCTGTATCAGGCGCACCTTAGGCTCCAGAGAGACACTGTTGCTCCTGAGTACGTTTGAGAGGTCCCTAATGGCAGACTTTCCCATCGCGATACGCTTTTTGATTTCCTGACTGCTGGTACCAAGAGTGTTAACTGTGGAGCCGAGCAAAGTGAAGCTGTGAACACTCTCAATCTCTTCATCATCCATCCCGACACTGCCAATTGGTCCAGTGGCGAGAATCTTTGTCTTCTTGACATTGAGCCTCAGTCCATACTGAAGGCTGCAGTCCTTGACCTTTCGCAGCAAGTGCATGAGGTCCTCCTCAGTTTCAGCAAGCAGGGTTGTGTCATCTGCATAACGCAGATTGTTAATAGATCTTCCACCAATCCTGATGCCACAATTCTCATAGAGCCCAGCCTCTCGGATAATCTGCTCTGCATACATGTTGAAAAGGTATGGAAACAGGATGCATCCCTGGCGTACACCCTTCCCTATTTTGAACCATGCAGTGTTACCCTGCTCAGAGAGTGAAATGCCTCTTACTTTGTTTCTCTTTTTAAGGAGTGCTTTGCTTATTTGGGGTCTCTTTCCATTCCAAATGAAATTGGAGATTGTCTTTTCCATCTCCTTGAAGAATGGAATTGGTATTTGTATTGGGATTGCGTTGAATGTGTAAATTGCCTTTGGTAGTATTGTCATTTTCAAAATATTAAGTCTTCTTCTCTATGAGCAAAAGATATTCTTCCACTTCTCCAGGTCTCTTTTTGTTCCTTGCAGTAATGTTTTGCAATTTTCTTTGAATAGATCTTTTATGTTCTGGTTAGGTTTACTCCCAAGCAAAGAACAAGAACCACGTGATTTTATCAGTTGATGCATAAAAAGCCTTTGACAAAATCCAACAC